GAAGGGAAGGGAAGGGAAGGGAAAGGAAGGGAAGGGAAGGGAAGGAAGAGGAGAGAAGAAAAAAGAAAAAAAGAGAAAAGAAAAAAGAAAAAAGAAAAAAAACTTCCAGAGACGATTCCCACGGGGCCTTCATCTGCAGAGAAAGGAGGGAGATCTGCGGGGTTTTTGTGTGTATATTGGGGGGTGCCTCTTCCCCCTTCTCCAGAAACATTCTCAACAAATATAATAAATCCAGAGGGGAAAAGGAGGGATGAAAACCAGGGGCTGGGTAGGAAAAGGAAACTGGGAAAGATCCAATGGCAGGGAACCGTGCCCCCATCCAGGTCTTGGGGGCTCCCTGAGCCCCGGGGGAGGGGGGGTGCAGGACATGGCCAGGTGGCCTCCCCCAGCCCCACATACGGCAGTGCGCTCCAGGCTACAGCAGCACCGCATGGGCTGCCCAGCACAGGCTGCTGCTACCTGGAGAGACCATGACTTCACACTGCCAACACGAGCATAATTTTCACCGTAGAGATAAGTAGTGTGTGTATACATACATATATATCTATATGCAAATATACTCATATACCTATGCACACACATATGTGTATGTGTAGGCATATATATGTGTGTATATACACATGCGCGTGCACGCGCACACACACACACACACTCACTCACTCACACTCAAGGTGAATGGTTTCTGGTTCATTCTCAGCTGTGCATCAATTAGCTTTCTGATGGGCCCCAGATCTGGGTGGGATGGAAACTGCTGCTCTCTTAGTCCCACTGGGAAGCAGTTTCCTCTCCTTTCCTAGTGCCTCCCAGTTCCCCTGGTGGGGGGGACCCCACTGCCCCCACCTCCCTGGATTCACTACAAGCTTGACACCTACCCCCTGGCCCTAGGCATTCAATTTAACTCCCTCAGTTGGATTTCTTTTCTTCTCCCTTCTCCCTTCCCACCGATTCCCCCATCTGACAAATGAGAGCCGTGCTGTCCCCTTAAGGGGCACCTTTTCCCCTGCTGCTAAATCGGGGCCTGTGAGGGGAGGTGGGGGGGGTGGCTGTGTTTTGATTAATATGGAAATAAAACGCAGAAATAGCAGCGGTACTTAGCTTCATTGCTTCAGTTTCGGGATTTATTGGCGAGGAGATAAACACTAGTCTGGGGGCTAGCTCAGTAATTCACAGTCTCCATCAGTTATTACCAAATGAGTAAATCGTTTTTCTTGAAACAGGCAGAGAAAAAAAAACAGAAAAGACCAAAAAAAAAATCTTCTTTAATAGGCTGTCATCACCTTGGGTCTGATCAAGCTGCTGCCTGCCCAGCTCTGGCGTGGGGCTGTGGCCCAGCTGCTTTGGCCAGGCCCCCCCTCTCCGATAAAACCTAAGGAATTTATCACAGATCCCTGCCTCTTAAAATGAATACATCCTGCTCTGCTTTCCCTCCAACTTTCTTTTATATCTTCCTAGGAAAACTTGTTCCTGTCCAAATGCCTCATTGAATCTTTGCAGCCTCAGACTCCCTCCTGCAGAAGGAGGTGTACAGTGATTTAAGCTGGAAAGAATTGTCACAGGATGTCATTGCACTGCTGCCAGGGAAAACAAAGGGCAAGGCTGAGAGAGGCCTGTAATCTTTTATTAGATGCAGTGATATACTTGGGGAAAATGGATCCTTTGGGGGGACACAAACCTATTCTCAACTCTGAAATGGAAACAGAGAGCCAAATGCAAGCTAAACACTAAAAGTAAGTGGACATCTTTCACAGGACTTCTGTGAAACCTAAGGGCTTGAGTTTGTTGCTTTGCATTCAGTGTCACTGGAGATGCCCTGAGACACCTGAGACATCCACACTGTGCTGGCAAAAATGACCCAGGACACTAATGTTCTTCTGGACCAGCAGCAGAGTCTGAATGGGATATCCGAGGGCATCTCAAAGGTAGTAAGTACGTACCTTTAGGCAGCTGATTTGAGCCTTATTTGTTTTGGTTCTTTACTCTTTGAAGTAATGAAGCTAGTTAGAACCAACAAAGGCTTGGGGGTCACAGGAATAAAACTGAAAGGAGTTGCTAATCTTACATCATGTAAAGGGGACAAGGAAGTTTTTAACAGAGCACTAGCTGTAGGTGTGCTCCCTCTGGCACATCCAGTCATTGCAAAGTAAAAAAACACTGAACTGAAGACACTGGAAGAGTGAAAGGAAGATGCTGCAGTCTGCTAATCCCAACCAATCTCCCTTCTCTCCCCCTCCATTTCCCCCACCTAAAGTTCAAACAAAACCACAGTACAGGCTGGGGGCTGACCTGCTGGAAAGTAGCTCTGAGGAGAAGGACCTGGGAGTCCTGGTGGACAACAAGTTGACCAGGAGCCCACAATGTGCCCTTGTGGCCAAGAAGGCCAGTGGGATCCTGGGGTGCATTAGGAAGAGCATTGCCAGCAGGTTGAGGGAGGTGATCCTACCCCTCTACTCAGCTCTGGTGAGGCCTCACCTGGAATGCTGTGTCCAGCTCTGGGCTCCCCAGTACAAGAGACACATGGAGCTCCTGCAGCAAGTCCAGCGGAGGGCTACAAAGAAGATGAGGGGACTGGAGCATCTCTCCTATGAGGAAAGACTGAGAGAGCTGGGCCTGTTCAGCCTGGAGAAGAGAGGACTGAGGAGGAACTTGATCAATGTGTATGAGTATCTGAAGGGTATCAAGAGGATGGGGCCAGACTTTTCTCAGTGGTGCCCAGTGACAGGGTGAGAGGTAACGGGCACAAACTGAAACACAGGAAGTTCCATCCGAATAACAGGAAAAAATTCTTTCCTATGAGGGTGACAGAGCACTGGCACAGGTTACCCAGAGAGGTTGTGGAGTCTCCTTCGCTGGAGATATCCAAAAGCCACCTGGACACAATCCTGGGCAACCTGCGTG